AAAAAAAAAAAAAAAGAAAAGACTTCCACAGAGAATCTGCCACACAAGGCCGTCTCATACCCAAGAAGTATGTGAGTGTGCTGGTTGGTGATGAGGAGCCACTCCCCAGCCAGGCTCTGTTGTTTTGAGAAGGTGGAAAGGATGTGTGTCTTGCTTACTTCTCTTTCTTTGCTGAGACAAAATACTCAGCGCCTACAATTAAGGGAGGAAAGTTTAATTATCTCACAGTTAGTGGAGGTTTCAGTCAATAATCAACTGGCTTCAAGGGAAGGCGGCAGCCCCAGGGGCAACACTCACGAGGTGGCAAGACAGCAAAAGCAGCAAGAGCAAGAAGGGAGGGAGCAAGCCTCTTCTCCCTTCTATTGGTTAGATCAGTTATCTGCCCACACCCACAACATCTCCCTGCCCTCCTCTTCCACAAGCTGAGGATGTTTACAAAGAACAGACCCTGGCCCTCTGCTGAATCACTTAGTTGAACTTTTAAACTTTAAGTTGACACAATGAACAGCATCCCAGAGGGGTAAAGCCCAGTCCTTTTCACCCCAGGATATAGCTGTTGAGTTCCTTAAGCTTCTAAACTCTTCAGGCTGACACGATGTATCAATCATAACAATTGGGCTAGTTTAATTGTTTATCTATAATTAGTACATAAGTTTTTTGTGTTTCAAATTATGTACAAGGAGCATGCAATTTCTGTCTCCTCCCGCCAGCTGCATTGTAGGGCTCAGAGGTATTTTCTCTCAGTACAATAGTCCCGCATTTTTCGTGGTTCAACTTTCCTGGACTCATTTCCTGGGCTCATGGTTTTTAAAAAATAATCTAAATTATTTGTCACAGATTTTTTTGCTCTATTGCTGGATTTTGCGGTATCATACAGTATACATATGTTGTTAAAATTACGTAGGTTTACAAATTTAGACAATGGTTAAGAATATTAGAAGTGTTTTTAAAAATATGGGAAACATTTATAACAGTGTAGAAAGGGTTTATAAAAATACTTGGTATAACACCTATAATATTCAATAATGGAACTTAGAAAAAATGGGGTATACAGATGAATGTCCATTTTGTATCTGTGTATTCAAAGTGGTTGGGATAGATATATAGTTGCATTCTCTTAATGAATAGAATGATATGTTCTAATGGTGTTTGTAAATAGGATCTCAAGTCCGCATCTTGTACAGCAATTAACCACTAAGAAGAATATATGCAGTGTGTTATTTGTTGAAACTGTACTTCCGATTTGATTTGAAACTGTCTTATTGCTGTTTATCAATAAAATTTTGAAAAAAAATAGTTGGTATATATATATATATATATATTACTTTGCTGATTTTCACTTCTCACGAGCATGTCTGGAACATAACCTCTGCAATATGCAGGACCACAGTAGTACATCTGATGTTACATTCTTGTATAGTTTTTTTAAAAAATTGTTTGAAAATGATTTTAGACCTACAGAAAGCAAGAATAATGGTCTAAAGAACAGCCACATGCCCTTTACCCAGATTCACCTATCCTTGACATTTTGCCCCATCTACTTTATTATTCACTTGCTTCATACCTCCATCTACTGTTCGTGTACACACCCATTCCCGGATGCAGACATCTACCAGCGATCTAATACGGCTTCCTGAATCATTTGAGAGTAAGATGTACACAAATTGCCTCTAACCCCACATACTTAAGTATGTTTTCTAAGAGCAAGTTATTATCTTATGTAATCATGGTTATATATGTATATCTGTGCATGTACTGTATGTATGTGCATGTGCATACACACACACACACACACACACACACACAGAATACAGGTAAGTCCCTGAATGTTTGAGTTGGGAACTTCACAGATGAAACTGGCCTTGCATACTGGCCTTGCATTTAGGAACATTCTGACATGTGAACAAATTATGGAAGTAGGTCATGTGTGTTGGACATTCTCACAGTTGTGTTTTTGTGACTTAAAAATGAAAAATAGTTTATTTACACTATGTTTTTAATGTGCCAAAGGTGCTTAAGACTCACTTTGTGAGACTCAAGAACAAGTTCTGCTTCAGGAGAAAGTTCGTCAAGTCAATTTGATGTGTCTATATGCCAAAAGTATGTATATGTCAGGAAAAGAAAAAACTCATATAAATGTTTTAGTACTAAATTTTTTGAGAGACGAGGTTAATACAAGTTATTATTGGCCTGTGTAATTATAAGAGGTGCTCAGAGTGATGAGTTCGCTTTAGTGGCAAACTGTTGAAGTGTATCTACATTTTTTTTTTTTTTTTGGCGGTCTCTGTCTCTAAGCAGTGGTGGCACATCTGTAATGCTAGCACTCGGAAGGCTTAGGTAAGAGGATCGCTGTGAGGTCGAGGCCAACCTGGGCTACAAAGTGAGTTCAAGGCCAGCCTAAACTGCATAGTGAAACCCTGTATATTTATCTTTTTGAGACAGGGTTTTGCTATGTGGTGCAAGAATTGCCTTGAATTCACTGTATAGTCCAGGCTGGCCTTGAACTCATGGCTATCCTCAGCTACCCAAGTGCTTACATTGTAGGCTTGCACCACTATGCCACCTTCACAGTTCTATATGTTATATGCTTACTAATTTCAATAAATTTAATGTGAATTGGGCATGGTGGCTCACACCTGTAATCCCAGCCCTCCTAGAGGCTGAAGCAGGAGAACTGCAAGTTCAAGCCTCATCTGAGAACTTAGTGCCTTAACCCGAAGAGCTCAAGACCACCCTGGACAGCATAGTGGGAACCATCTTAAAACAATACCCAAATATATGTAGCTGTTTCTAAATAGTTGTTATCCAGAATTGGTATTGATCCTGCTCACCTTTTTTCTTTCCACTTATGAATATAACTAATAAAAATGTCATATACCTCCCAGTAATAGCTTGTCCTCTTCTACTCTAGAAGGTTTTTTTTTTTTTTTTTTTTTTTAATGCTTTCAGGGCAGGTTTGGCTGGCTTGAGTTGTGGGGATCGAAACACAGCAACCTGAGGCCTGACTGCTTTGTTGAAGCAGCCACTTAAAGAACTGAACTAAGGGGCAGGCCCCCTACTCTAGAGGTCTTAAGCAGTCTTAATCAGCTTACTCTCGAATGTAATACCACGTGGGCACCCTATCTGCCTGGTGTTTCTTTCTTTTCTTTTTTTTTTTTTGCCTGGTGTTTCTTAATCTTTAATGGAATGAACTGCACATTTGTTTTGTGTGATTAAAAAGCATTGTAATAAGGTATTTTCCTTTTTAAATTTATTCCAGACTGGTCTGATGTACTGGCCTTTTGTGCAGGTGAGTTTCAAACTACCCACAATCTGGGGTTGGACATGCAGCTCAGTGGCAGGGAAGTTGCCTTGCATGTGTGAGCTCCTGGGCTTGACGATCCCCAGTGCTGTAAAACAGTCTTAGTCAGAAGGCTGACTCCTGGCTTGGGCTTCTGTTAGCTTCTCACCGACTCTCTCTGTTCCAGCTGACCAACTTCAGCCTGGTTCCTGTGCACTGGAGGACAGCTTACACTGGACTCTGTGGTTTCCTCTGGGCCACTTTCCTCTGCTTTTCTCAACAGACCGGGGATGGTACCTTGAAGTCAGCGTTCATTCTCCTCCGTACAAGGGCAGCTGGTGCAGCTGAGAGACCTCCAGAGAAGTGAGAAGTCGAGGACTCCTTTACCATGACCAAGTTTTGTTTTCTTTTCCCTAAAGTACACTGGATTGCTTACAGAGAAAATACTTGATTTACCAATTATGTGGTTTATTGTGAAGAATTATACTCCCTATACCTACTTGTTTTTTAAATTTTATATTATTATAATTATAATTTTATTATTATTATTATTATTATTATTATTACTACTTTGTTTTTTAAAGGCAGGGTCTTTCTTGAGTTCTTGAACTCACCATTAGCTCAGGCTGGCCTTGAATTTGTTATCCTTCTGCCTTGGCCTCCTGAGTGCTGGGACTACAGGAATGTATCACCACACCCAGCCCAATTATTATTTTAAATTTTATCCAAATCTATTCCCTTTATTCTAGTCTGAAAGTCTTACTTCTCATATAATTGCACATCTCTGCTATTTTGGTTAAAAATATCAATAATGAGAAAGTGGCATTTTAGAATATTAATATTTATATTGAAATATTTCAGTGCCAGTTGACTTCTGGAAAGCCAAGTTCTGATTGTTTACATGTCTATTCTAAAATCTCAGGCTGTCTCTTAAAAAAGTTGTTGAATCTGATTAACTTTTATGTCAGAAATAGTCTTCTCCAGTTTTGGTTTGCTGATGTTGAGACAAGGCCTCACTATGTACTTCCGGTTGGCCTTAAACTCACTGTGTAGTGCTGGCTGATCTGGAACTTGTGACCATCCTCCTGCCTTGCAGAAGTAGTCCTTGTAGTAAAATTTCTATTTCCAGAAGATTTTTTTTTTTCAAAAATGTATTTAGTTGTTGCAGGGTCTCACTCCACAGCTCAGACACGTGGCGATCCTCCTGCTTTCAGCGCTGGGATTACAGACATGCGCCACCATGCCCCAGACTCTGGCTGGCTCAGCCCACCCTGGGGGTGAAGCTGGCAAAGCATGTAGTGCAGGGGATAGAACCGCAGTCCCTGTGCTTGTCTAAGCTTGCCTAAGCCGGTGCTTTAGTGCACTGAGCTATTTTGCAGCCCCTACTTCCATAAGATTTAATCAAGGACAAGATTGAATAAGATTTTTCCCCAGAATACTTTGTTAATCATTTATTATTCTGATACTGAGATTTTGCAAGTACATTTTTATGATCAGAAAAAATGATGTATGATTGATGAGTTCTGTAGGAAATATTTTATTGATATCTTCTACTTTTATAATATCAATACATAATGTTTTTAATTTTTTAAATTTTGAGCATATTCAGTGACTAAAGTGCTACATTTACTATACATACAGAAGAAAAAAAATTTCATGAATTTAGGACAGGGTCTATAGGATGTACAGGGTCTCACTATGTAGATTGAACTCATAGTGATCCTCCTGTTTTCAGCCTCCCAAATGCTGGGATTACAGGGGCGTGCCACCACACTCAGTCACAGTCGCTGCCTCAGCCTGCCCCATGGGCAGAGCCAGCATGGCACACCAGGAATCGAACCCCAGCTGCTGTGCTCTGTCTAAGCAGGCACTTTGGTCAGCTGAACTATCTGGCCAGCCCAGAAAAAGATATTTGACTTCTTTGTGAACACAAACACACACACACACACACACACACACACACACACACACACACACAGAGTCTCACTAAGTCACCCTGACCGGCCTCTCGAGAACTTTTATTCCTCTTACCATTCCCCAGTGCTGGCATTACAAGTGTGCTATAATGCTTGGTGTGAACTATATTGAAGAAAAGTTCTAAAAAGCAATTTGGAGCTGGGCATGGTGGTGCATGTCTGTAATCCCAGCACACTGGAAGTCTGAGGGAAGAGGAGTCCCAAATTCAAGCTCAGCCTGGGCAACTGAGCAACTTTGTCTTTTTGTTTTGTTGTGCCATTTTGAAACAAGGTCTTGCTATGTAGTTCAGGATGGCCTTGAGCTCACTTTGTAGCCTAGACTAGTTTCAAACTCACAGTAATCCTCCTGCCTCAGCCTTCTGAGTGCTGGGACTACAGGCATATGCCTCCGTGCCCAGTGTGAGCAACTTTGTAAGACCAGGTCTCTAAATAAAAAAGGGCTGGAGAAGTAGCTCACTGTGAAAGCCCTGGATTAAATCCCCTGTACCAGAAAAACAAACAAAACTACTCTAATACTTTGGGCCAGAAGTGGTAGAGCATTTGCCTAGCAGGTAAAGCCCTGGGTGAATCCTCAGAACTGAAAAGAAGAAACACCTAATTAAATTTTCTCCCTCTGGGAAGAGGAACTCAGATCTATAATATACCAGGGAAAGTAGTTTCCTAAAATTTCACACTGCTGTCATAGTTCTTTCTTTTTTTGGGGGGGGGTCGGGGTTATTGCTAGGGTACTGAATTCAGGGCCTTGTACATGCCAGGGAAGCACTCTACTATTGAGCTGTAACCTTAGCCCACTGATATTATACTCTTAAAATTCAGTGCTTTAAAATAAATCTTTATATTTTAATGTACACATAAGAGACTCAACCCAAATTTTTAGATTTCTTTGGTGTGTCCAATACCAGATGATTTAAAAATGTGCAACTAGCTGGGCACAGTGGCACTTGCTTATAGTGCCACCTACTTAGGAGGCCAAGAAAGAAAGGTGCTTGAGTTGAAGACCATCCTGGGCAGAGGAGATGGCTCAGTGGAATAAGTGCTTCCCTGGCAAGCACAAGGACCTGAGTTCAAACCCTGGTTAAAAAAAAAAAAAAAAAGTAAAGGGCCAGGGAGATAGCTTAGTAGAATAAGTGCCTGTCTGGCAAGTGCAGGGTCCTGAGTTCAATCCCTGGGTCTGAAAAAAAAAAAAGAAAGAAAGTAAGTAAGTTTAGAGCCAGGCACGGTGGTACACACCTATAAACGCAGCACTTGGGAGACTGAGGTAGGTGGATGGATCCCTGTGAGTTTGAGACCAGCCTGGGTGACAAAGTGAACTCAAGACTAGCTGAACTGCATAGCAAGATCCTGTCTCAAAAAAACCCAAAAACAAGAACAAAAAAATTTTTTTAAAGATTTTTTAAGTAAGTTTAAAAATAAAGAACTATAAAGTTATGTGAAAATCTCAAAAATTATCAGGAAATTTCACCTCAGAATTACTTCACAATTCTATTGTTACCAATGGAATTTTCCCCAGATTTCAAGATGTGAAGCACTGAATTGTACTTTTATCTTGAAAGTTTATTTTTAAGATCAATTTAAGAATGTATATCTAAGTTTTTGAGTATGTAATTTATATAATTTGTAATATACTTGTAGAATTCATAAGCATGTAACTTCTAAGTGTATAATGTACTTGAATATGATAGATACTAATATATTTTACATTAGGACAATACTTAAGAGTTTGTGTTATTTGCATCATTTTAAAAGTAGTTAATAGAAAAACTATCTTATAAAACAGAAGATGAATTTTATCATCAAAAGTCTAAGCAGGTTGTCGGGTGTGGATGTACATACCTGTAATCCCAGTATTCAGCAGGCTGAGGAAGGAGGTTCACTGGAAATTTGAGGTCAGCCTGGGCCACAAAATGAGTTAAGGCCAGCCTCAACTGTATAGCAAAACCCTGCCTCAAAAAGACCAAAACAAAACAAAAAGAAGTCTATGCAGGGTAATTACCTGCCAAATACTTTGGAAACCTGATTTCCACTCATAGTCTCTGAGATATTCCCTTGACTCAGATAACTGAAAATTGATTTCTTAGTTTGGGGGATCTTTTCAGATACATAATGGATGCAATGGAAATGAGATGAGTTTTGAAGGAGAGAGCAAAGAGCTAGAAAAAGTACTTCAGTGCTAAGGGTGTCACTCGGTTGTAGAATGTTGGGGTTTTTTTGGATGGCTCAGGATGGCTTCAGGGCATTTCTAGTATGGCTTGAGGATCTGGGAATGGAACCACAGCAACCTGAGCCTGACTGCTCTGTTTAAGCAGTCCCTTAAACAACTGAGCTAATGGGTAGGCCCCCTGTGGTAGAATGTTGGGCCAGCATGTGTGATGCCCTGGGTTTGATCTCCAGCACAAACAGAAAAAAGAAGAAAGAAAAAAGTATTTAGCTTCTAATTTAGAGGAAAAATGTTCAACTTGAAAAATGTAGTTGCTTCCTTATAATTAGAAATCATGCATAATTTGTGCCTTAATCTTTTTCACTTGTAGGAAAATTAATGAAAGTTATTCTGTTGTCAGTATCATAGTCTATTTTGTGAGAAAGAATTAGGCAGAGTCAGTGCAAGTTTAAAATTTTTTAAGAACTGGGCCTGGGACAGAGTACCCAAAACTGTGACAGAATACCCCAAACTGCTTTTCCTAAGTCATTTGTCATTGCCATCAGCATAAGTGCCTGCCTGGTAAGCACAAGGTCCTAAGTTCAGTCCCCAGTACTGCACAATAAATAAATAAATAAACAAACAAATAAATAAAAATTTTTTAAGAATCACATTTAAGGACCTTTTTATAAGACCTTCCTATTTTTCTCAAAATCTATTCAATAGAAGGGTTTAGTGAATAAAATAATTGATTATTGCCTACTCTACTATTAGTGAAATTGGACAGCTGGGGATTCATACAAATGAAGGATGCTTTACGAAATTTAATTATTACTGATTTGTATTGGTGCTGTTTGGGTAAGAAGCTGTTCAGTGAGTGAAAAAAATTACAGATACTGAAAGTTATGGTAAAAAAAAAAAAAGAAAAGAAAAGAAAAAGACTGGGGAGATGGCTCAGTAGAATAAGCGCTTCCCTGCCAAAAAAAAGAAAGAACGTTACAGTTAATTGCTTCTCAGCCTTTTGCCTAAGATCAAGTGTGATATCTGTTCTTATTAGTGTAAAAGCTAAGGTTAAAAGAATATTTTCATATTTTAGTACTTCATTAATAATTATTTTGATTTTTAATAATTTGAAGGAAAATATGTTCTGTTTTGCATGAAAACTTATACATAAATAAAATTAACTTTGGTAGTTTGGATTATATTTAAATAAGGCTTTGTGTCAACAATGTTAAATACAGTTGACAAAATTAAATGTGGATAGCATCTTTAATTGTGACAGAGTACCCAAAACTGCTTTTCCTAAGTCATTTGTCATTGCCATTGACTTTATTTAATTACACTTTTTCTTCCAAAGACCATCATGCTTTGGGATTCATTTGTAGCTGTCAAAAGTATTTTTTGTTACATGGGCAATTTACTTTTAGTTCAGTAGGATTTTGTGTGAATTTCTACAGAGTGTTTGCCAAAATAAATTATGTCTAGAACATGCTTTAACAGTGTATTCTGGAGGCAGCTTTCATTTGAAATTAGGTTCATCTTCTGAGACTATTCTAAAGTTAATGGATTTCTTTGCCTGAAGAAATGGATTTCTTTGACCTTGCACTGGCAATATTTAATCCAGTTTTACTTCTAAGTCTTAGAGTCTAAAGGAACAAAATTGCTGAAAATGTGACTCAAGCTATTGGAAACTTCTTTTAATACTATGAGCAGTTCATAAGTGAAAAGAAAAAATCCTGTGTTTAAAGATAAAGTATATACTTGGGGTTTAAAGATAAAGAACACGTAAAGAGATGTGAACCATAGCTAGAAAAGAACATAGGAGAGAGTAATTAGTAACTGAACAATATTTTCTGCACACAGACACATAAGTTTGTCTTTTTCTAGTTCGTTATAAGTCCCTTTCATCTGTTTTCTCCTCTCTTTGTCAATTTCCAAGAGAAACCTTCTCTGGTGTGGAGGATGTAGCTTCATGGTGGAGCCTTCACAATAGAGCCTGGCGTAAGCAACTAAGCCCCAAACCAAAAACAAAATGTAGATCTTCCATGCTTTACCCACTGGCTGCTCCTGGATCGCCC